TAAAGCAGAATCAGGTTTCTGCAAAAATCACAGGGCTTTAAAATAGCACAGGTCTGATGCAGCCCTCAAAAATGTGTGACAGAGGGAGGGCCAGCCTGCCTTACGCTGGGAATCTGCTCTTCCTTAGAGCGTGTCTTAATTGGGAGAAAGGTGCAAATTGAGAAGCCCAGGCTGCATCCTCGCCTCTCTAACTCCAGGTGTGCAAAACAGGAGGAATTTAGGCTGGACCACAGCAGTAATAAAAGATCAATTGATTCCGTTCCATTCAAGCTTTGGGTAAATGTGGCTGCAGGGCTTCACTGAGACTTGCTTTTAGTAGCAAAATTCCAAGGGTTTTGCTGCCAGTCTACTCCCTTTTGCCCAGTACCTTGGCTCCCTGCTCACATTTGTTGGCAAATACATCACATATAATGCTCTCTTGCTTGTCTCTTTCAGAACATAGTCTATAATTAAATTTTCAAACCTGTCTTAACCATGGAGGTTATTTTTCCTTTTTTGTTGGTGGTGCTTTTTTTTTTTTTTTTTTTTTTTTCTCCCTGTTGAAAAGAAAAGAAAAGAGGATACCCAAATTTGATGGGGATGTCTCACATCACTCACCCTGCAGGGATCAGGGAGCCTGAAATGCCTTCTCAGCATGCTGCAAAGGGCAGTTTGATCTGGAGAGCTAACACAGTGTTAAGCCTGAGTTATCTGGCCAAGACACGACACAGGTCCCCTCTTCCTCCTACCCCGAGCCCCACAATAGCTGCATCCAGCTCAGGGCTGTGTTTTGAGACAGAGACCACCTAACAGACAGGATTTGCTCGTGCTGCTTCTCCTACCACTACAGTTTTGAACCATTGCTGTGGTGGTTACAGCACAGGAAAGTAAAGGAACGACTGAAGATCATTTAACCTCCTTTTAACATGATTTTAGGAAGGGAATAGAGGAGAAGACTAAATGATCGGCCCATTCTTTTCAAAGAAAGTGAATTCTTTTCAAATAATTGCCTTGTGGAGCACCAGGTGACTACAGGGTACAACGTGAGACTCTTTGCCCAAAGTACTGCTGGTGGGCATGGGAAGAAAGTGCCAGCTTGAGAGAATTTCAATATCTGAGATGAAAGAGGAGGAGGCAGCCACAAGGGTGGTGGGAGGCTGAGTAGAGCAAACATAAAGAAGCAAAAAGAGCCTGCTTCAGTCTCCATCCAGACTAAGGAGCAAGGAAGAAGAGTAGAAAATCCATGGAAGTTTCTATTACAATTACTTCAAGAAGCCATAGCAATACTTAAAGCCTGTTATCTCCCCCATCTGTCACTCCCTGTGGCCTCTTCAGGTTCAATTTGTTTAAATGGGAGGTGGATGGGGCTTTGTTTGCAGCACAAGTGTTTGCTGCAGAGCATCTTAGACTGCCTTTGGGGCAATTTAGAGGATGAAATGTTTGCCTCCTGGTCACTCACTGCCAGGAAATGGCTGATCCAGCACTAGTGGTTGCTGTCAAAAGTCATGCCAATAAAAACAGAGGAGCAAAGTGAGTGGTTGAAAACAGAGATAGGCCCAAGCAAGCAGCTAGATCTATCTGTCCTGTGAGCCTCCATCACTGCTCTGGGACTATGCAGGTGCCAGATGCTAAGCAAAGCCCTCTGGCCATAAAACACAGGGCTGCAGATGCATTTCTACCAGCTCCAAATGATCAGCCTGCTTCAGGTTTTCTTCCTGTGTAAGTCTCTGAATTAGCCTCTTCACAGGTAGCAGAAGGACATTTCTTTGGTCAGAAACCTGTAGCTCTAATTGGCTCAGTCGTTAATTCCTTTCTTTCCAGGCTTGCAGCAGTTGCAATCACAGCAGGTCTATCAAGTGTTTTCTGTGCACTGAGGGACAGGCAGGTGAAGGGTCTGGCTCTCAATTCTCCTGGTTTGTCATTTTTATCAGGTTGTGTCCTCCCCCTTGGTCATTACAGGATAAGAAAGGCATTTTACTGTATTTTCTCAACCTTTAGCTTGTCCATCATTCCACGAGCAGGCTGCAGCATGGGAAGAGGAGAGATAAACTGTGGGGGGAGGGTTGGTTCAGGCCATTAGAGCCTCTGCAGTAAGGAAAGAGATGGAAGGTACGGCTATATTCGAGGGGGCTGTGAGAAGGTCAGGAAAGGCGGGGCGGGGGGGCGGTGATGACAGCGCTGTGAGTCCAGGGAAAACAGAGCTGCAAAGTTTACACAGGGACCCACGGGAGAAGGCTGTGGGCGACTGCCTGTTTTGTTTGTCTTTATAGTGAGCTGTGAAAGGGGGTGGGAGACATCCAAGCACGGTGTGGACAGGGGAAGAAGAGGCAGTCTCCTGTGGGTGGTGTGAGAAGGGCAGACAGACGATCCCTAGGGGTATTTGGGGTACGGCTGTTACCAGATGTGCCTGCGGAGGAAATCACGAGGTCCGTCCCTGTACAGCATGCGGAATGGGAAGCTCCAAGCAGACACAGAGATATTCCCATCGCTTGGAAGGAAAAAGACACAACGAGCATTCAGCACAGGGATGATGGGCTAAAGCCCGCCTGCGGGTGCTGGGAGGGCTGGGGCTCAGCCCTGCCGCTGTCGGTCCCAGGATCAGCCTGTCCCCGCCCGCTGGCAAAGTCCCCGTGTCGCTTTAAAAATAAGCGCTCCAGCCTGTTGGACAGCCTTCCTTGGAAAAATAAACACGGCAGCGCTGGCAGCCCGCAGGGGCAAAGCACACGCACACTTTGGGGACACCTCTCCAAGGGCGGGTACCCCCAGAGTCCCCTTGGGAGCAGAACAAGGCGTTCCCTTCCCTGCCTCCGGCCAGACCCACGTCCCCTCCCGCATCCCCGTGCCCGGAGCCCCCCGGGCCGGGGCGCAGGTGAGCGCTGCGGGTTCCCGTGCCGTGGAGCAGGAGCGCCTCCCGCGGGGATGCGCCGGGATAACAACCCGCATCGGGGGGATAAAATCCTCCCCAAAAAAACCCACACCCAAAAACCCCACCCCCCAAACCCCATCCCCAAAACCTCCACCCACAAAACCCTCTCTCCCAAAACCCCCATACTCAAAACGCTTCACTCCTGGATATTTAATACACTGAAATTTTTTTTTTGTTGTTGTTGCTTTTTAACAATGAAATCTTATCTGCGATAGGGAACAGGCTGAATGTCTCTCCCAGCTCTTTTTTATGCCTTGGGAACAGGAAGAAAGGGGCAAAAGTATCCCTACACTTAAAAGGGACTGAGAGACCCCCTGAATGCAGTTCAGTCTAGAGGCACCGAAACCAGCAAGCAAAACAACCCAACCCATCCAACTTGCAAGTGGCTGTATCATTAAAAGGCCATAAATCCACGTTAGCAAATACCCTAAGCAGAAATCACAGCAAATCAATCACATTTTCACTCTGCCAGGAGGGACTGCCTTGGTGGACGGGTGAGAAGCACTCGAGACAAGGCTCCTGTGTTTGTCATTAATTTCAGAAAGTCTTTGCCTCTCTGACTATTTTTCACTGACAGGGAAGGCGAGGGTTGGGAGCCTCTGGTTTGTACACAGTTGAGAAGACACACTTTGGAGTAGCTGTAGTGTGCTGATGGAAGAAGGTTTGAAGCCCAGTTCTTCACGGAGCTAAATATTTTCAGTAATGTCTCCAAGGCCAGCATAAATTTTGCCAGAGCAGGATGAACTGCAAACACTTCTGAGAAATTAAAGTGATCCTGGCAAATTGAGTAAATTACAAAAAATAAACAGTAGGTAATTCAGTTAAGGCAAAAAGCACTTAAGGAGGAATAACCATCTGTACAAATGTATACCTCTGAATTGCCAGTGCTTTAATAGCTCTGCAAATAGGGCTCTGGGTGTTAAAGTGGGTCAAAAACAAATTAAGGTTGGTGTTCATGGCAATGGAAGCGTAAAAACAAACAATTACACTGTGTAATTGATGCCTAAAGTCATACATGTTAAACCTGCCCTGTCGAGCGACTCAGGCGATCCTAAGCCCAGTCAGAAAGCAAACAAACATTGTTTCATCTCCATGGATGTGAAATGAACCTTTTACTTTCCCCAGGTTTGGAAGGGCCTCAGCTGAATTCAGCACCAAGATTTCTGTTTCAGGCTGCAGGAAAGAGGGATGCAGTCTGTCAAAGAGTAAAAAAAGCGACCAGAGTTTCAGAAAACCTTATTTATCTGCAGGGAAAAGTTTGCATAGAAAAGGCTGAGCAAGGCAAGGCAGCAACTCACAGAATTCTTAAGGTTGGAAAAGACCTGCAAGGCCATCAAGTCCAAACTGACCGACCACCACCTTCCAGTCATTTCTTGAACACCTCCAGGGATGCTGATTCCACCACCTCCCTGGGCAGTCTGTTCCCATACCTGACCACACTTTCAGTGAAGAAATTCTTCCTGACCTCCAGCCTGGCACACCTTGAGCCTGTGTGCTCTCGTCCTGTCGCTGTTCCCCGGGAGCAGAGCCCGACCCCCGCCTGGCTGCACCCTCTGTCAGGGCGTTGTAGAGAGCCACGAGGTCTCTCCTGAGCCTCTGTTCCAGCCCCAGCTCCCTCAGTACCCCTCACAGCACCCCAGACCCTTCTCTGGAGTTGCTCCACACCTCAACTTCTTGTAGGGAGGGGCCCACAACCGGCCCCTTATCACGAAGCCCTGGAGCAGCTCCGCTCACAGATCGAGAGTCTCCCGTTCTTTGACTTTGCGAAGGGCTGAGATAAACCCGTTGTGATTGATTCAGATAGGGGGTCAAAGCCTTTCGCTCCCTCCTGCCCAAATCTCTCCTCGCCGGCGATCTTGCACACCTCTGCCGTGGCAGGGCTGCTTGTGGCCCTTTCCGTGCGGGTCCCGCCAGCCCCGCTGCCGCTTCCAACAGCCGCTCCTCTCTCCAGCTCTCCCCACAGCCCGCCGTGGGCAGGGGCAGCACGGCTCGCTGCCCGCTCCACCGCCCGGAGCCGCGCTGTGGGCGGGCTGGCAGGCCGCGGGCCGCTCTCGGGAGCGGTAGGCCGGGAGCAGCGGCGTGCCCGAGGCCGCAGGGGCGGACGGGAGCCGTAGTCCGGGCGCGGCGGCGTGCCCGAGGTCGGCGGGGCGGATGGCGCTGCGCGGCTCGCTGCGGGCCGGCCGGGCGCTGCTGCGCGCCCCGGGGCCGCCCGCCCGCGGGCTCTGCAGCCGGGTGCGTGCGCGGAGGGGCGCGGGGCGGGCGCGGGGCGGGCGGGGAGGCTCCCGGCTGACCGTGCCCTCCGCTCGCCTTGCAGCCGCCGGCCTTCGGGTTCCTGTTCGATGTGGACGGCGTGCTGGTGCGGGGCAGCCAGCCCGTGCCCGCCGCCCGCCGCGCCTTCCAGAGGCTGACGGACGGCGGCGGGCGAATGCGGGTGCCCGTCGTGTTCCTGACCAACGCCGGGAACTGCCTGCGGTCGGCCAAGGCCCGAGAGCTGTCCCAGGCGCTGGGGCTGCAGGTAATGGTGACGGGGCAGCGGGAGCAGCGGCCGGAGGGAGCCCGAGCGGTCCCGGGCAGGGAGGCACCGCGAGGGCCCGGCCTGGCCTCGGCCTGAGGGGCTGCAGAGCGGCAGCTGGCAGCCATGCCCCCCGAGCGCCGGGAGAAGGGCGCGAAATCCAAGCTGCGGGTCCCAGCCGGCCTCTCCTCCGTCCCGCAGGTGTCTCCGGAGCAGGTGATCCTGTCCCACAGCCCCCTGCAGCTCTTCAGCCAGTTCCACCAGAGGTGCATGCTGGTGGCCGGGCAGGGGCCCCTGGAGGAGAACGCCCACAAGTATCCTTTGTGCCTCGTGGTGCTCTGTGCGTCCTGCTGCTCCTGCCCTAGCCCTGCCCCTGGCACTCGCTTGCTCAGCTCCTGAAGCACAAGGAGACGCAAAGGTCACCGGGCTTACCTTATGGGGCAGCGTCCTTATGGACAGGCTCAGGTGCTGTTGATCTCTGTGTTGGTCACTCCCTGCCTGCCCTGTTCAGTGTTTGGCTTCTCGCGTTCATGACTTCTCCTGTGATTGCTGATCTGTTGGTGGGATGTGACCACGAGGACTCCGTCAGCTTTAGATGCCTCATTTTTGAGATAAAGTTGTGCTCTTCCCATTCTTCCGTGGCAAAGCCCGTTAGAGATCACTCCCAACTGTCCCATGGATAAGGTTTTCCTTAGAATCTGACAGCAGTTGAAGGAACTGAAATATGATGGGGCTTTGAGCAGCCTGGTCTAGTGGAAGGTGTCTTTGTCTGGCTGAAAGCCATGAGGTTATGCTTTACCACACTGCTCTGTTACTAGGACTTGCATTCCTTAATCCTATAGGTGCTTCTGCAAGTAAAGAAGAACTTAAAGCAAAACTGTCACTTAAAAAAAAAAACAACCCAAACAAACCAGTCTCCACAACATTCCTTGATGGTCTGAACTAGCCTGGGGTTCAAGCACGTGGTCACCATAGAGGCTCTGAGGAAGGCATATCCCCTGTTAGACATGGTGGACCTGAGCCGGAGGCTGAAAGAACTGGTAATCTCCTGAAGCATCAGCAGAAGGGGTGATCTGGTGCAGAGGTGGTCACAGCACACAGCAAAGGGACAGGGCAGCTGTCAGTGAGGTCCCTCAGCAGGAGCCTGGCACTGACACTGAGCAAGCAGCCCCCCTGCTCTCCCCAGTGTTGGCTCCTGCAGGAAGGGCAGTGACTCTCCCCTCTCCCTTCTCATGCCATGCCTGCCTTCCATTGCTGTTCCTTGCAGTGAGGGGTAAGATGTTTTGGTTGACGTCTCCAGCTCTGAGACAGGAGCACAAGATCTGTGAAATCCCATCGGGGATGGGGGAGGGGGGAGAAATACTCCTTCAGGATTCCAGGTGGCTTTGTCCTGCCTTATTATGGAACTGCCTTGGCAGGTTCAAAGGAGGCATTTTTAGTTGTAGAGATGGCATTAGGTTTTGCATTACTAATCCAGCCTTCCTTTTTTTTTCTGGCAGCCTCCTCCCACCACTGGCTTCCCCACTATAGAAGGTAAGCAGTGGCCTGTGTTTACATGTGAGCAGCAAGCAGAGCTAAGAGCAAGGCAGGCCAGCTGGGATGGGAGCTAATGATGTGCTGTCAGCTCACTGCTGTCCATGGGCAGCACATTCAGAGGGTACAGCCAGGAGGCAGCCTCGCTGCTGGAAAAAGCTGGATAAAAGCAACTTTTCCCTGTGCTGTGTGCCAGTATCTGGAACCGGGGGGGCACATGGTGCAGAGATGTGCAGACTGGAGCCCTGGCACCAGCCACGTTCCACTGGTAGCTGCACTTGCCAGGGCAGCCCAGCACAGGAGGGGTTTTGTTAGCGGGTGGCTTTTGGACGCCATGAGTTTCCAAACAGCTCTCAAAATCTTGCAGGGGTGGTTCTGTTTGGTGAGCCAGTGAGGTGGGAGACGAGCCTGCAACTCATTGCTGATGTACTCCTGAGCAATGGGAACCCTGGGGCAGAGCGGCAGGATGTACCATACCCTCATCTGCCTATCCTTGCCTGCAACATGGACCTCCTGTGGATGGCTGAAGCCAAGATGCCCAGGTGAAAAGCACGTGTGGTATTTGGTTTGGCCAATTTCATACTCCTCTCGTGCAGATGGTCTTTTCCTGCTGTGTTTTTTTTAGCATTTGAATGCTTTGAGAGCTTGATTGTACGATGTAATTAGCAGCAGAGACATGAAAGCTGCATGAGAAATAAAGACTAAAACCTGGGGAGAAGCAAAAGCCACACCACTGTGTGTGGAGGTGTGTGTGGGTGCTGTATCCAAAACAGGCAATAACCAAGGAGTGCTTGCTGCTTCAGTGTCACTGGGGGTGCTGATGATCTCCTTTCTGGGGCAGGTTTGGCCATGGCACTTTCCTCCTCTGCTTGGAGAGCATCTACAAGAAGGTGACAGGCAAGGAGCTGAAGTATGAGGCCTTGATTGGCAAACCCAGCCCCGTCACCTACCGCTATGCCCAGTACTTGATCCAACAGCAGGCAGAGAAGCAGGGCTGGAAGGCTCCCATCCGACGCCTCTATGCAGTTGGGTAAGAGATTTTTTTCCTGCTGGTTTCCTTAGGGAGTTGCAAACTGACTGCTCTTTAGTGGTGGTGGGGTTTTTTTGTTTGTTATTTGGGGTTTTTTTGCTTACTTGCTGGGTTTTCTTCCCCCTCTGGATATTGCTAAAGTTAATACCAAAATCCCCATGGTATCTCTGGAGCCTCGCATCCTGGAACAGAGGCTTGCTGGCTTTTTGTACCCTGCACAGCAAAGCTGTAGAATGCACAGTGCACATAAAGTGACTCAATTAAAGGCAAAGTTAAGAGACCCAGATGTAGTACTGTTAGCTCAGTTTGGCCAAACACTTTGGGAATGTAGGGGATATAATCCAGTCAAGGCTGAAACTGCTCTGGGTGCTTGGGATGTGCTGTTTCCCCTTTGAAAGGTGCACATGTCCTGGGCAGGACTCACTGGTGGGTGGACTCACTGGCCCACTCCAGCTGCTCCTCTTGGTGTTAGCAACTATCTCACACCCCTTCCTCCTTCAGTGCTGTCTTAATCTCAGTCCCCCAGTGCCAGAGGGCTTTTTTGTCATTTCTGAGCCTATTCTCATGGGCTTATTTCTCCTTTCTGTTCCACACTGTGCCCTTATCCAGGGATAATCCTATGTCTGACGTCTATGGGGCAAACCTCTACAACAACTACCTCAAGTCAGCTCAGCAGAACCAGGTCCAGGCTGGGCTGAAGAGGAGCCCACAGGCAGCCAGTCCCCAGGCTGAGGTTTCCCTGGAGTTGAGGAATGACTGCAACAACTCAGTGCAGAGCTGCGAGTCGATTCTGGTCTGCACCGGGGTCTACCGCCACAACGGTGCCGTTCCCAAGAAAACAGTGGAGACAGTGTTCCATGGACATCGGGACTTCAGCTTCGACCCCAGCCTGCTGGAGGCATCTCACATAGTGGAGGATGTGGATGATGCTGTGCAACTTGCTTTTAAAAAAGAAAACTGGAGCTAGGGGTTAAGACAGGTGTGCCTAAAGATCTGCTGTGAGGGATTTTATGTACTGGAAAGAGGGGAAGAATGGGGAGGGACCTGGGGTGATTTTCTAATCTAGCTAACATTTAAGAAAACTCCCTGTTGCAGCACTAAAAAGCCCTTAATTTTATTGATACTCATCTGCCATCCTGACAGCTGCCCACAGACTTTCAACTGTGACTGTGCATTGCTGCCAGCCATAATTGAGCCATAATGGAAACAGGGTATAGGCAGTAGGCTTGTCCCAGCAATCCCAGTTTTGTTCAGCTCTCACAGGTCCTTCTTTTCACACTTTGTGTGCAAAGATCAGGGGAGCCCACCCTCCTCTTTGTGGGGTGTTTGAGGGCAAAGCTCTTCCCCACACAAGGAGCCAGCATCAGCCATTTGCAGAATGTGCTGTTTGTCCAGGCTGTGACTCTTGCACACCAGAAGCTGGGCTGCGGTGGCACCATGCCAAGAGAAGGCTTTAAGTCTTAACATTCTCCTCGTGAAGAGTAAGTGCCTACAGACTTTAACAAATTCTCTTTGCCTGGGGATTTGCCACTGCATCACTGTCAGCCCGAAACAAAGTTCTGTTTTGCAGTCATCTGGCAGCTGTGGAGAGGCAGAGCCCCTCAAAGGAAGCTTCAGTAGCCAGAGCAACTTGCTGCAGGGCTGAGGTGAAAGTTATATTGTTCCCTCCCCCCTATTTAGCATTCTGTGAACACCCCTGCCTTTTCACATCCCACCAGGGAGCCAGCAGCCTGTGCTCAGCAGCAGAGGAAACCACCAACAGAGTTTGAATTGGCAGAGTTGTCTTTGCCCAGAACTCAGTGCTGCAGCAAGAGGCTTTTTTGGCACCCACTCTGATCCCAACTGTTGCCGGGAACATCCACCTGCTCCAGCTGGCACAGCTTCCAAGAGGGCCCTTCTTTGGAACAAGGGCCAAACAAAAAGAGTCACAGTCCACCTTTGCTCCTTCCTTGCATGCAAAGATTCAAAGAGAAGATCAGTCAAGCCAGGATAGTACCAGAGCCCCAGACTCCCAGAACTGATCTTTTAGAATACAAATGTCTGTGTCTTCCAGTTCCTTTGTTCCTCTCATCCTTCATGTGGTTTGCAGCTCAGGGATACCCCATACAGTCTGACCTCTGGTCCCTCCTCTTTCTTTAGCAAGCAGGTAGAGTCCCCCTGACATGAATTAGCAGCTGAGCTTTGCCTGCCCAGGAACTTTTCCCTAACAACATGCACCTTCTATTGCCTCTGTTCTCCTAGCTCTTCTATCCAGAGAAAGATAAGACTTGTGTCTCCATAGACATTCCAAAGAAGATAAGCAAGGTTTGCATGAGAAATTAATGTGAAAGATTTGGCTTAGCGAGGAGTGTCTTAATTCCAGAGGAGCACTGTGATTTTAGAAGCACAAATCAGCCTGTGTATATGCTGAAAAGCCTTGGAGCGAACACAACTGAGTTGATTTTCCTAACTACAGTCAGCTCACATCACACTGAAGTATCAGAAACAGGTCTGCTCTGCCTCTTCTTTCCTCCTTCCTGCTTTTCTAGGCAGCTCCATACACAGGGTGCAAACTAGATGTTCTGCACGGAAGTTTGAGTTCTTGATTCAAATCTCAGCATCCATGTGCACTGAAATTCTGCTCCAGCAGCTCTCCATCCTCTCAATACTGAAGTATCTTCCTAGGAAGGTCACTGCAGCTTAGGCTCTGTTCTTAAGTTGTGCCAGGCTCTGTGTGTGAAGCAGATCAGATGCTCTTTCACTTATCCAGGTAGAAGAGTTCATTCTCTGTTTCTCTATCCTGCCCTTCTTGAATAGGAGCAGAAAAATACCTCTTTGCATGTGTTTCCCTCAGTGAAATCCACAATTGGAAGCAGTTTCTTCCTCTCTTACCATTACTTGGGGTTCTTCTCCTTTGTCTCATCAGGGCAAGAACTGCTTGGCTGCTTCTAAAAGCAGCTGTAATGGGAGGAACACGGATTTGAATCCTTTTCCTTTCGCTGCAGAGAGAAGGAAATTACCATTTCATCTCGTTGCACAAAACAAGGGCTTGTCTCCAGTTCCCAGAAGAGCAGGCACAGGGAAGGACTTGGGAAATAACACAGGGAAGGTCCTTTGGCTGCAGCACCTCCCCACAGTCACAGCTGTGCTGTGCCCCCAGCGTGCAAGGCCTGAAACTGGAGCCCAAACCCCATTTATTCATAGGGTGGCTCCAGTGTCCCTCAGCCTTGTTTTTCAGAGGTGCCATCCACTGCAGAAAGAGGAGCACTCCCTTTGCTTGCAGTGCTTGCTGACTTGGGTGGGAGCTGTCGTGGGATTCCTTGGAATGCTCCTGATGGACAGACCTCGGGGAGCTGGTGGCTGGCAGGAAGAACGAGCCACACCTTCAGCATGGTGAGTGCTGACTGCAGAAAGGCTGAGCTCTGTCCATCTGCAGCCAGCCTTTGGCAGAGCTCTGTCTTGTTGCTTGTTAGGAGTGTGGTGCCAGTTACTCAGAGAAAAGGTGCTGCTGAACACTGTGCCCTGAGAACTGTGGCACCTCTTCCAAGGTTTGCATTTGTTTGCATTTGCACAGAGAGGGAGCCAGGCATCTCCATCTTTGGAATAGCAGTGGAGGTGAGCTGACTGATGTGAATCTGCTTCAGATGCCAAATGTGCTTTTAGCTCTGGATTAGGTTTTTTTTTTCCACACTCACAGTGTTCTGTGAGTCTTAAAAATGTGTAGGAGGACCTTCAGTGATAAGGAATTTTAAAAAAATGCTTTGCTTGCTAGTTGAAATTGAACAGAAGGGAGGAGAAGGAATCTAGAAATATCTTGTACCCTTTGCCTAATTAATACCAAGTAAGGTTGCATAAAAAACTCTGCTTTGCTGCTCTCTGCACTAATTAGTTAGCCAGATGGGCTGCCCTTGGTCTGAGCAATGCAAAGACCTTTCCCCTCTTCCCCTTCTTAGATCCTTGAAACAGTGCACTTTGTCCAAGTCCCTGCTGGGAATTGCATGGACCCACTGGATGAAGTAGGAAATCTGGCTTCTCCAGCTGCTGTTGGACACTGGCTTGATTCTGAAAGGTTTCTGTTAATGACATTGCTTGGCAGGTCTCCTCTGTTGCATGAGTTGTGCTAGAGTGTTGTACTTGTAGCTTATGTCCAGTTCATTTATGGACATCTGTTGTTGCCAGAATTCAGTGAAATCCTTTTTCCTTGGAACTGCAGCTTCCTGGAATTAGCTTCCAGCGTGGCTGGAAGGAAACTTCCTTTGTCTCATGTGTTGCTCAGAAGAGGTGTCTCCAAAGCAGTATTTCTGTCCTTTGGAGCTGTCATCCTTCTGTGCAGATTGTGGGACCAAGCAGGAGAGATCACCACTGCTGATCCAATACCTTGATACTTACATGGTGCACTGCCTGTACAACAAACAGGGCAAAGACCTGATCCTAACAACTCCATCTTCCAAAGATGAACAGGTTTTTGTCAAGCCAGAAGGGAGCTTGCAACTGAAGCTAGCAGGAAGGAACCAAGGGATAGACCTTGTTTTGGATCTGAAGCCAAGAGCTTTTATGGCATGCAATAACATGGTGGCCAGAGAAGTCAATTCCTTTATTCCACAGGATGCATGCAACTGCTAACCTGGCATTCAGGGCATCAGATAACACTGCTGACCCCTTCCTTCCAGTCCTAATCCTGCCATGTCTTTCCCCCTCCAAGAAATGGTAATGTTTCAGATTGTGTCATGTGCACTGTAGAAGAGTGATTATATATCATTCAGAGAAATTACAAACTGTGATTATTTTAGATTTCATATTAATTTCAATGCAGTTACAGAGTTGCTGCTTTGTTCAACCACATATGTAAAATAATAAAATATGTTTTCTTTGAAATTAATTTTAACTTCCTGTGTGTACATTTAGTTGGTATTATCCTGCTCTCTTTCACATCTTTGCCCTGTAAGATTATTAGGGCAAATTCTGTTTGCTTTTTCTTTCTTTTTTCATGTTCTTCAAGCTATTACCACATTTTCTTGAGGGGGAACCACCCTGAAAGATACCCCTTCAGCAATTAACTGGCAAACTTTCAGACCAGAACCAAAAGCTTCCCCTGATTTCAATGGAAAATTCAAGATCCTGCTGGGTGAAACCATCATCTTTAATGATCTAGAAACAGCCAATCCACTTGCACTGTTTTTATATTTTATCAGAAAGTTTCCCATCTACAAAGTTCACAGCTCACAGGAAGCAAAACAAGTGTGATGCAGAGTCCTGAGAACTTGATGTTGAGAGCAACAATCAGTAAAGCAGTTTTGGAGGGACTGGACAAGGATTCCTAATCCTAGCAGACAGAGGAGTTGAATTATATTCTACATCCTAGAGAAGTCACCTACAGCCCCAACCTCTAACAAATAATCATAAAAAGTGTTAATCAGCCTCCTCCTTTTATCCAGCACTCTGGTAGTTGGAGCACTCACCCGAGATGGGGCTAATCAGGGTTTAGTTAAGCAGGGAGAGATCACAAGCTGAAACTCCCAGGTGCATGCTTTTAATCGCTACTGTCAGAGCAGCCTGGGGTTAAGGTGTCCCTTGTAGGAGAGGCTGAGCTGGAAGTTTGAGTCCCATAGAAATCCTTACCCAGCCTAAGGTGCAGAGTTAAACACTGGAGAGGGACCAACTTGAACAAAAGGACTGAGGGTCCTGGAGGAGTTTGCTCCCATGGGAATGCTGTGAGAAATGCCTGCCAGGGTAGCCCTTGGGAAGTGCTTGGTCCCTGCTTGCCCTGGTACCTTTAGGGGCCTGTCCAAACCCTTCCATTGCCAGCCCTTCCTAACCCCAGTTATAAAAGCACAAATCTTTATGGGTTTTTTTAACTGCTGCAGTTAATTTGATGAACACTATGCACTTACAGACCTTCATAGATCCAGCCTACAGCAGTTTAAAACCCTGCACCAGCAGGGCAATGATGTGTTCTCTAGGAACCAAACCTCCATCAAGGAAACACTTCTCTTCCTTCACTATAACACACCTACTTTTCAGTCATCTAAACTATGAAGAGCTTTCCCTTTCTCCTCCAAGTCAGATCAATAGATGCTCAATGCTAAGACTGAGCAAAGAAAATACCAAAAGCAAACCCAAATCCACTCTCCAAGCTCTTACCCTGCTACAAGCATGAAAAGAAATGTCTTGGCACTTTCTGCTGTCATTGAAAGCTCTTTGAACCGAAATGTAATTACAAGCAATAGTCTGTTAACAGTTCAATATCCTTTTGAAGAGGATCTGCATTCCCTGAGCCATAACACGGGATCAGCAGTTCAGTTACAAAGGCTGCCTTCGGAAGCCAAGGCATCGTTGAATTTTGGTGCTGGCCAGGTGAAACTTTTTTACACTTATCTGTCACTTCAGCCCTGGCCATTTGAATGGGTTAGATAAGTGCAGCACAAAGTGTGTGTCAGAGAATCCCAGAAGCTTCCTTTCCCACACAAAAGGCATTTTAAGTATGGTTGGAGCAGATTATGCTCGAACTCCCTGAGATCAGCTTTGCCTCTTTCCCTCCCACTGCTGCCAGTTTCTGACAGCTTACTGCAGGGTATAATTAGGTATCTAGTTTCTGGTCTTTCAGGCATATATCTGCCCTGTTTTTCTTTTCTTTTTTTTCCCCTTCCCCCAAGAAATTGAGTCATTATTTTGTTTCCTCCCAAGTTCAGCCCTCAAGAAAGTTTTGCCTTCCCCCAGCAGGGGTATTTTTGAGGGCACACTTGCTTCCACTTGCAGTGTAAACTAAAAATGGTAGCATTTTAGATATTCAGTATGACTATTACACAAAACTCTGTCTGCTGTTTGTCTTTAAATATATGCATACACACACATATCTGTGCATACACATCAATACATAAAAAAGCCAAAAACATAGCTTGGGAGCTACTAAAGAGTAGAATCTATTTATAGTTTAGCTTTTTAATGTTTTAACAGCAATGGTTAAGCACTAACACATCCAAGGACTGCACATTGTATTCAATAACTGGATCAGATGGGAAGCATCATCTTGTCATATCTCATCCTACAGTGTGCTACAAAAAGCTCTCCAGTGCTTTCTCGTGTAGAAGTCATTTTTCCCCTCATTCCCATTTTAAAGCAGAGGCACAATTTCTGCTTCCTTTCCTACAAATAAGCTCCTTTCTTATCCTCACCTCTTTTTATTGTGTTTGCACTGCTGGAGCCCATGCTCAGCCCAAGGAAGCCCTCGAGCTTCCACCCTCCTACCTGGTATTCTCCCATTCCTTTTCATAGCTCCCCTTGCTGTGGCCCCTTCCCACAGGTCCTCCCTGTTCCCACCTACTTACCTTGGATGCAGGAACCTTCACAGCCCCAGCAGTTATCCTGTGGTGTCTGGAGAAGCATTTCCAGGAGCCTGCTCTTGCCGTGCTCACACAACCTCAGCCCAGCAGGCCCCCTGAGCACCCAGTTCCCTCCCAGCTCCCTCAATTCCCAGCTCCCCACATCACCTGGTGGCAGGGTCAGAGCTCATCTCCCAGGCCTGCACACCAGCTGTGGTGACAGCCCACCCCCTCCCAAAGCCCAGGGATTCCCACCCAATTCCCTTCACCCCAGCAGGTGGGACACCAGCCAGCCACCCAAAGCTTTGGGGAATGAGGATTCTTTGTGAAACGAGTGCCTGGATCAAAAGCAGAGGTGTGAGTGCCTGTGGCAGGTTGCCAGGGCAGCTCAGTGAGCATGTCCAGCCTATGGCACACAGGGAATTGCATTGCTCAGGAAACCCAGAGCATGACAGCCAACGAGGCAAAGCTGTCACTGTCTGCTGCCCAGGCAGGGCAGGAGCAGCCCTCTCTGCATGAGGGCTGGTGCCCTGAGCAGCCCAGATGGATGCTTGGTTTTCACTCCACATCCTCTTGTAGAAGTGGAAAACTCCCCTTGCAGCAGAATGTGGCAAGAGCAAGACCAATTTCACTTATGCTGAGGGCTGACCACACATGAATCATGGCTTACCTGAGAAGAGTCAGGTGAAGGAGCCCACCCACCTTGGATAAAAGCCAGGATGCAGAGCATAAAATGTGATTTTACCCTCTGCCATGGGCCACACAGACTTACACTGCCATCCAGCCCATCCTTTCTGTGGAAACCAAATGAGGAAGCACAGCTGGTGTCGTTCACACCACTCTGAGCTGTCCTGAGCTGGGCAGCTCCCAACACCTGCCAAGGAACATGAAAGAGCACCAGACAGAGCAATCGTCCTCCTTGGCCATGTACCCCAGCCTCCTGCTTCCTATCAAACAGACCCCGACCACAGAGCCTTCAGTGACGTCTTTGTGCAGAAGAGATGTCCCCTCTCTGAGCTGCAGCCCAGCCAAGTAGGGTGTGGCAGCAGGGATGCAGCAGCTTGGACTTAGGAGCAGGGTAGCAACCTGTATGGGGACGATGGGAACAGCTGCTTGCTGCAGTCCCTAGATGTGGTACCATTTCACTCCCATGCTGCCCAAATTAAAGCTTGCATAGCCTCCAGTTACCTTCTCTTTTGCCCTCTGTTCTGACCATGCTTTTAGAAAATGAATTTATCTGCTCCCCCTCGCTCCAGTCTCCACTGACAGCAATGCTTTTGCTGTGACTGTTTCTCTTCCCCTGCTTGTACTCCTGATTGTTGCTGTGTGCCCAAAGAAATCTTTGTGTCCATCCACCCCAAGTTCTCCCTTTCCCTTACTCAGTTATCTCTTTGCTTCAAGTTTAAGCATGAATTCTCCTTATACCCCAGACTGCTTTCTCCTTGTAGCCAAGAGCAGCCAGGGACAGCAGGGCTCCTCAGGGAGCCTGCAACATGTATTAGATGGTTGTCACTGCTGTCCTGGCTGTCCTTTCCCAGCACTAAGCAGCATTTGCTCATTGCCATGTGTTGATTCAGCAACATGCTGAAAACGTGAAGCTATTTTGGATCTTTATGGCAAAGTGTAGTTAATGCAGACATTTGTGGAGACAGTTTATTTGATGTGCTCCACATCACTGTCAGACAGCACCTGGCTCATCACTGGTGGGCACAGGTACAGATGAGGAACTGGTGATGCTGAGCACCAAGGCACTCTGGAGCATGCCAAGCCATTAGAGCTGGTGATAAACAGATGCAAACAGCTATTAAGCTCAATTCGAGGCCATTAATAGTGGGCCAATAAAAGTCTCGATTGCTGCTTTCAGAAGAAGAACTCCAGAGCTATTCATATCAATTCAAAGGCTCTGTCCCATCATGGCAAACTGGGCAGGGCCCTCAGCACGTGGATTGCCTCAACTCAGAAAATTGGTGGGATAAAAGACACTTTCTTTGATGAACAAACACACCAGACCAAATGTAGGGGCAGATGAATGTCCAGCAGCACAGATGAGCCACAAATGAGCGCTTCACTGTAGGCTCCGTGCCAGGCCAACTGCTCTTTGTCTTGGCCAGCCTGGAGAGGCCAGGGGAGACTGAAGCACTTCGATGTTACGGAGCGGCTGCCGCGGTGCTGTGGCACGTCCGTGGGCTACCGGCCCGGGCGCGGCTCGCCCCACTCGCGGGGCTCCCTCGGGGCAGGAGGCAGGACGCTCCCCGGGATGCGGAAGGGGAGCATCCCCGGGGACAGGGCGGGGGCGCCTTCCTCACCCTCCCGTTCTCGCCCCCCTCCTCCCCTCCCCCGGCAGCGCAGCCTCTCCCCCAGCCCCACGCCGGCTCGGGGGCCGGGGAGGACCATGCACCGCGCTGCCTCCAACCAGCGCTCGGTCTCCTCCTCCTCGGGCTCCTTCCAGCCGCCGCCGCCGCCGCCGCCGCCGCCGCTGCCGCCGCACGCCGCCGACCGGCAGCCCCTCTTCCAGAGGGGCTCCAGCAGCGGCGGCAGCCGGCGGGGCTCGGGGTCGAGCTCGGGCTCAGAGCGGGCCCGCCGCCCTCGCAGCCCTCACAGCAGCGCCGAGGAAGAGGAGGAGGAGGAAGAAGAGGAGGAGGACAGCAGCAGCATCAGCAAGCCCCTGGTGCCGCCGCCCGCCACCCCGCTGCCCGCCGCCGCCTCGCCGCTCCCCAGCAGCAGCAGCAGCATCAGCAGCGGCGGCGGCGGCGGCAGCCCGGGCCGCAGCATGACGGCGGCGGAGCTGTACGGG